AGGGCTGCAAAGCACACTGTCACAGGTGCTTTTAGTTCAGAACACAGTTCCTGAGCTTTCTAAAGACTGCAGCAGTAGCATTATTCCTGCCACGTTTATCAGATTTTTAATTGAAATTAATACCGTGCACAAAGTAGTTCTTCTTGAGGAACCTGTGCATTTTCCTGCTGTTCACTCAGACATTAGACTGATTTTTAGTTTGTGGTCTTTAGTTACTGACTGTCCTTGTTTTTTAATTTTTTGGCTTATTTACTCTCTGGTGCAAATCCTCACCACTTGCAGCATGCTGAGAGCAAATTACTGCAAGAGTGTGAGAGAATGAAGGAGCTAAAATGTGTTGCATTAAGCAGTATTTTATCACAGTCAGTGGTAAAGGAAGGTTTCAGTCAGTGGATCAGCCACATTCTGCGGTTCACCACTTATGCAAAAAGGATCTTTCATTTCTGCAGCAACATTAGTTCTGAGCTCTCCTGGTTTTGATCAGTCCAGGCTATATTTAGCTTTTAGACATCTTTGAATATGTAGGTGCAATCTTATTTCCAAAATACCCAACTTCCTTGGGGGCAGGCTTTTGCCCACTGCATTTCAATGCAAGCTGTTGTACATTTGTTATTTTCTTAACAAATATATCATAATTTTTCAGTCCCTTTAATATTTCACTATACAAGTGCATCTCAGAAAATCTTGAAGTAGATTTAATGAGAGATAAAAGATTTTTATTATAACTAGAAACGATTCCAAGATACAAAGTGCATATTGGGGTTTTGGTCTCAATTTATTGATTGATGAGGGGCATCCAAGGTTTTTAGATCTGGATCTAAATATCACGAGTTATGGACTGCACTCGTGAAAATACAGTCCCTCACTTTCTGAAGCGTTAATGGATTACAAGAACTTGGTGACATTCAATCGAGTTTTCCCCAGAGCATAGGAAATCCCCAGACAGCTGGAATTTTACAGCTCCACAAGTGAAGGAGCCAGCTGCAAAGTCAGAATCTGGGTTGGAACTGCACCAAATCAGGGGTGCCTGGATTAATAATGCTGCATTTTGTACCTCTCTCACAAATTACACAGCACTCTATTTCAACCAGTGCAGAAATAATTAGCAAAATCATGGTGTGCAGGCCTGCATGCACATACTTTTCAAAGCAAGAGAGATTAGTGTTTAATTAATCAGTGAAAGCTCAGTGCTCATGCACAAACTATCCCTTCATATTGCATTTGTGTGTGTAATACTAACAGAGTAATGTTGTTCACCAGTCTTGCTTTGGTTTCTCTGGGGAGGTGCCCATACAATGTACCTCATTCCAGGCTGCCACCCAAACTAGACGGATACATGTTTGTTTTACTTTTTAGCTTCCAAAATCCAAAGGTAATCATTCTAACTACAGTTCACGGAGTATAATGGGTCTGTTCTCCTTCCAGTGTTTGAGTGCAACTCCCATGAGTATTAATGCCACACCCACCCACCTCTCAAGCAGTCAGCAGACTGGTTTCTGACCTGGAACTCCCTGCTTGGCATTATTTTTAGTATTTTCCCCAAATGTCACAATTTTAAAATAACTCAGGGTAAATAATCATCTAAAAAAGCAAAACGTAGATAAGCCATTTGCAGCTAGGTTTACTGTGTGTATTTGCTGGAGCCCTATGTCAGAAAACAAAAGAAAGGACCTCATCTCTATCACCTAAATAGAAATAACTTCCCTTAGTACAACCACTCTTTCAAGCTTCCATCCTAAATATTACTGATTAACAGTAAAATCATATTATCAAGTATGGCCATGTGCAGATGAAACAAGAGGCGTGTATGCACGACACTTTAAAGCGGGCTAAATGCTTTTGCTTTGCTTTAATAGTTGGTGTTTGCACGCCTCGGTGATGTATTGTGCATTAATTCCAGCTGCTGTAGGAAATTCAGCGGTGTAATGCACTTTAAATCACTTGGGGCGTGGCAAACTAAAACTCTTTTGAGGTGTTTTAGTTTGCTGCCTGTTCAGGCGCAGAGTGAAGTACCGGGCTCTGTGCGGTTCCACGGCTCTGCAGGAAGCTCTGCAGGCAGCCTGGAAGCAGCCCGGGAAGGCAGGCTCCACCCAAGAAAAGTGGCGAGCCTGATTCCCCCCCACCGGAGCCTGCCTGCCTGCCTGAGCTGCAGGGGGGTCTGGTGCTTTCCTTGGCAGTTGCGGTGCCCCCTGGGACCACCTGAGCTGGGTGCCTGCAGGTGGGTGCCGCCTTGGGAGGGGGGTTGCCACTGCTGCAGAAGGAAGCACCAGCCCCCTCCCCCCACATGGGCCAGGGACCACTCCGCCCGCTGGCAGCTTGCCCTCCCCGCTGGAGAGGCAGGGAAGTCAGTGGGGGGTGTGCACGACACAGGAGTTTAATCAGCCCTAAATTGAAGCAGTGTTTCTTAAAAACTGCCACTTCAGTTTAGGGCCCCCGTTTCATCTACACACACCTCATGACCAGAAAACTCTTAAGATTTAACCCCAAGGAAATATCCACAAAGTAATATAAATATCTGTAACACCAAGCTAAATGTAGGGCATGTGGGTCCTGATTTTTTAAAGAGGTTTTTTATTTTCTAACTTGAGTTTCTAATTTTATGTCTGCAGCTTTGAGTGTGCAATTATTGTTTCAGGCACAGTTTATAGTATCTGGTATCTGTTTGTTTGAGGGACTGATCCAGTGCCAATTGAATTTAAGGAGACTACCAAGGTCTTAGAAGTAGGCACTTACATTACTGAATTCGCACCCAGAGCCCTATCTCAAAACTGTAGGAAACCTTGTGGGCTGGATGTTTGATGGGTTCAAGGTAACTGAAATTCCTGAGCTTTTAAATGTTCAGTAGTGTAAGCTCTGACATGCTTTAAAGTCCTGACATGATGTGAGTAGCAGTTCTACTAAAGGCAATAGTCCAGGGAAAAAAAATCCCCTTGGTTTAATTATTTTTTCAGAAAGAAATAAGAAAATAGTGATTTTTGGCAACCCCCGCCCAAATATTCCAAATTTCATAGAAAAAATGTTTTAGCAAATCAAATGTCAACTAGCTGTGGAACAGGACAAGGGGCAAAGTGAGGTAGGGTTTCCATGGCACCCTTCCTCATTCAGTTTACACTTTACGACAGACACTGCCTATGTCCCATGCAACCTACTGTCTCCTGCAGAATGAACTCCTGTCCCCAGTGAAGATCAGGGGAGTTTTGCCATTCAGTTCAATCAGGCCCAGATTTCACCTACACTTCTTATAAAAAGGCTTAAAAACACCTTCAGCAAGCCATTTGTTTTCAAGAACTGTTTTCTCCATCCCTGCATTAAAGGCAACACAAAACCGGTTCTCATCAGAATGTTGCTTGGCATTATCTGCCGCAAGGACTATCTTGCTGCCAAACCTCAGCTTTCTTCCCCCTACATTTTTCGTGTTAGGCATATACAAAGAAAGCCTCAAGGATTTAATTTTTTTTACATAGTAACAAGAGGTTTTTTAATATTTTCTTTCTTTACTCTCAGAAATACCTGAACAACAGTATTCAATCAAACCTGTCACAAAAAGTATCTTTAGAACCAAGTTCTCCAAAGATAAAGTTATAAGCAACTAAATACAGAGCCTTTGAATAGAAATGCTAATGCAACCTTAAGAATACTCTTGCTAATGCTCCCGCTAGAACTTCAAGACATTTGAACATATAGTAAATATGTTGCTGTTAGTACTAGAATGATATATGTATACTACAATATAACATGTTCCACATTTCCTGTACCTAGCTTGATTTGGAAATTTATTTTATTTGCAAAGAGAGCCAAATTCTGCTGTTATTAACACTATCAATCCAGAACAAATTAAGATTTACCGTGATGGAACTGAGACCACAATTTAGTACACCAAACTGATCTGATTTGATAAAGGAGACATTTAATTGTGTATATTTTATTTGAAAAATTTCACAAATTTTGTAATTCATTCCCTATTTTATAGAATTTAGTGACTAATAGGGAAAATGTTAACTATTTATTTGAAAAATACTGGAAAAATTGCTCAAAGAAATAATTAGAAAAACATTATTCTATTGGCTCTTGCATAGACTCTTGCACCATCATGAATATTGTATAGTCATGCATCTGTTTTAATCATCATAACACAATTGTACAGTTCTTGATGATATCTGGAGATTGACTAATGATTATGGAATTACCTTACATCCACATAACTATCCAGGATTCTCAACATAATCCATGCTGCTACAAGAAATTATGCCATCTAGATCAAAAGGTTCCTCACTGCAAGCATGAAAATTAGTTCACTGAAGTCCCTCAACCTTTACAGTTCAAAAGTCTTCCTGAAGGAAAATATATTGGTGGTATAGATGGATTTGCAGGTATGAAGCTGAGGAAGTGGTTTTCACAGCAGGGAAGGAACATAAGTGGCAAGCATTTGTTAGGAAGGTGTTATAATTAACCATGTTAGGTCAGCAGAGTTAGTAAGAAGGAAAAGCTGCAAACTATTTTTACTATGCCAGCATTGTCAGGTGCAATAAAATCACACGTCCATGAAACTGGAATGTCATTGAACCTGTGGGTTAGTTTTTAGGAGAT